GAGCGGGAGGCTCTGAGCATAGAGCAGCGGCTGCATGAAGTAAGGCAGAGCATCCTGCGGGCACAGGTGAGACACCTGGGGGTTAGGGTCCTGAGGTCCTCCCTCCTCAGCCAACAGCCTCCTCCTCTCCTCTGTCTGATGGTGGGAGGAGGTAGGCAGGAGGTAGAGGGTGGGCACATTTGGGCAGGCTCTACTCACCTCCCCAAAGCAAGCCCAGCCACAGACTTGACCCCCTCCCCATGCCAGGTGAGCCAGGTGAAGGGAGCTGCCCGCCTGGCCCTGCTGCAGGAGGCTGGCCTGGATGTACAGCACTGGCTGAAGCCAGCCATGACCCAGGCCCAGGACGAGGTGGAGCAGGAGCAGCGGCTCAGCGAGGCCCGGCTCTCCCAGAGGGACCTCTCTCCCACGGTGAGTTCCTTCTGCTCCCTACCCACACCCACCCAGGAGGGTAAAAGTCCCTAGTGGAGGGCAGGCCCAATAAAATGGGAATCTCAACAGTACCTAAATCAAAGGGTTGTTCTGAGGCTTAAATGAAATCACTTACGTATAATTCTTCACATAGTTTATAGCATAGAGTCCTCAACAAACTCATATTGAGTATAGGATGGTGGTTATGAGCCGAGGTTCTGGGGACAGACCGTACGTGATTTGTCACTTATGAGCTGTTTGATATTGGGAAGTGACTTAACCTTTCTGAGCCTCGGTTTTCTCATAAGTAAAATGAGGTTAATAGTTATACAAAGTAACAGTGGGTTATGATGAAGTTTAAATAAGATCCGTAGTTAGCACTGTGCCTGGCACATAGTAAGCGCCCAGGACACTAGCTCTGCAGTCACCATCAGTCTTACCCTGCCCTGTGGCGATTTTTCTTGTGACATCTGGTGAACGGATGGGTGGTGCTCCCTTGGAGGATGGAGGAGAGGGAGATACAATGGGTGCTTGAGAGTGACAGTGACGACTGTTCTCTGTTCCCCTCCCTCCAGGCTGAGGATGCTGAGCTCTCTGACTTTGAGGATTGTGAGGAGACTGGAGAGCTCTTTGAGGAGCCTGTCCCCCCAGCCCTGGCCACCAGACCCTTCCCCTGCTCCGCACATGTGGTGTTTGGCTATCAGGTGTGAACTGGGGGGTGGGGACCTCAGATGGGCAGGGATCGGGGACAGCCAAGTCCTAAATCCTTCCTTGTGGGGCCAAGGCAGGACATGAGGATGAGCTGACCATCACAGAAGGCGAGTGGCTGGAGGTCCTAGAGGAGGGAGATGCCGACGAATGGGTCAAGGTGGGTATGGACCCTGGGCTCTGACCTTGGGAGTTCGGGGCAGTGGGAGGGACTTCCCTGTGGCCCACAAGGACTCAGCCAGGCAGAGCTAGAAGCCTGAGTAGAGGAGGGTCAGGGCCGTGGATATTGTCTGTTCTCATTGCTGGGTGAGCAGGCTCGGAACCAGCACAGCGAAGTCGGCTTTGTTCCCGAGCGCTATCTCAACTTCCCCGACCTCTCCTTCTCTGAGAGCGGCCAGGACAGCAGCATGCCCTTAGGGGCAGAGCCCACAGGTAAGCAAGGAGAATTCTGGGTCAGAGGATGCTGGGTATGGAGAAGAGTTACTGAGTGGTTGTGACCCTAAGGTGTCATGGTCCTGGGCACCACCACGACCTCCACCCCTCACCACCTCTCCCGCGTTTCTGCAGCATTTCTGGCTCGTGCCCTGTACAGCTACACGGGACAGAGCGCAGAGGAGCTGAGCTTCCCCGAGGGGGCACTCATCCGCCTGCTGCCCCGGGCCCAGGATGGAGTGGATGACGGCTTCTGGAGGGGAGAATTTGGGGGCCATGTGGGGGTCTTCCCCTCCCTGCTGGTGGAGGAGCTGCTTGGTCCCCTAGGGCCTTCTGAGTCTTCAGACCCTGAACAGGTGAGGACCCTGAGTTGACCCTCCTATTCCATTGAGGCCCCATGTTCATCTTAATGCTCCCTCCCCTCTCCAGGTTGACCTCCCATAGTGGCTTGGGCCTCCCCATCTCCTCTGGCTGGGCTGAGAAAAGGGAAACCAAGGCAGTCTTCCTAAGAGTCTGGTGGTGCTACTTTAGTGCTAGATAGATCTGAGTTCTGATGCCTATTACATTACCTTGGGCAGTTGTGTGACCTCACTGAGCTTCTTTCTTTACGTGTCAAATGGGAATAATACCTACTTCAGCAGGCTAACTATCCTGACTATGGATAATGGCGGTAAAGCCCTTAGCTCGGAGGCCCATAGGAGGTGCTTTAAAATACAGTACTTGCCCTAGCTCAGTGGTTCTCAACCTTCTGGCCCTTTAAATACAGTTCCTCATGTTGTGACCCCCAACCATAAAATTGTTTTCGTTGCTACTTCATAACTGTAATTTTGCTACTGTTATGAATTGTAATGTAAATATCTGATATGCAGGATGGCCTTAGGCGACCGCTGTGAAAGGGTCTTTTGACCCCCAAAGGTGTCGCGACCCACAGATTGAGAACTGCTGCAGCTGGTTTGGCTCAGTGGGTAGAGCATTGACCTGCAGACCAAAGGGTCCTGGGTTCGATTCCAGTCAAGGGCATGTATCTTGGTCGCAGGCTCCACCCCAGCCCGGGCCCTGGTCAGGGCGCCTGCAGGAGGCAACCAATCGATGTGTTTCTCTCACATCAATGTTTCTGTATTTCCCTCTCCCACTCTCTCTAAAAGATCAATGGAAAAATATCCTCGGGTAAGGATTAACAAAAGTAAATTAAATTAAATTAAAAAATAAAATACATGACCTATTGTTATAATGCAGCGGGAAGAGCATAGGAGAGGAAGTCAGGAGACGCTGGCTCTAGCCAGGACTCTGCCGGTAACTGGTTCTCTGATTTTGGATAGATGGCTTAATCTGAGCCTTGCCCCTAATATAGGAATCGTAAAGATCCCTGTCTCATGGGGTGGCGGTGAGGACTGAATGAATTGGTGCACATGGAGTGCTAGCAGAATGCCTGGGACATAGTGTCAGTACACATTGGCTATGGAAATGAGCATCAGCTACAACCCCCACCCAGATACAAGCATTTGGCACTCTTGGTACTGGGGAGTGATGGGACAGGAACCGAAGATGGGATGAGAGGACACGCTGGTGAAACCTTCCCATGTGCCGGAAATAACTATGCCCCCTCATCCTCAGGTGCTGCCATCCCCTTCTCCTCCCAGCTTCTCCCCTCCTGCACCCACCTCTGCCCTGGATGGGGCCCCGGCACCTGTCCTGTCTGGGGGTAAGTAGAGGGAACTAGGGGTTTGGGGAGGGACAGAGGCCGGAAGGAGGAATCTTGGGATGCCTGGGTTACGCTTGGCTCTTCTCCTCGCCCTTGGGAACCTCTGCCATCAGGCTCATTGAAGCGTGAGAGTGAGGAGAGCTTGGGCTGTGAGGCCAGGCCCAGTGTTCCCACTCCACTCCGTGACTCCCTGGTGTGTGATTTGGGGTGAAAAGTTTAACATGTCCGGGTCTTTACAGAGTGGAGTTGTTGTGAGTTAAAAGATGTCTGTAGAGCCCTAGCCGGTTTGGCTCAGTGGATAGAGTGTCAGCCTGCGGACCGAAAGGTCCCGGGTTTGATTCCAGTCAAGGGCACATGCCCAGGTTGTGGGCTCAATCCCCAGTGGGGGGCGTGCAGGAGGCAGCTGATTAATGATTCTCTCTTATCATTGATGTTTCTATCTCTCTCTCCCCGTTTCCCTTCCTCTCTGAAATTAATAAAATCATTTTTTTTAAAAAGCTGTCTGTAGAGTGTCCAGCATTGTGCCTGGCTCATAGCAAGCATGCAAGCCATGGCTTTGTTCTCATTCTTTTAAAAATTAGCCAGCTTCTTCTACAGTGTTTTCCCAATACACATCCTCTGCTCTTAAGTCTTTTTGAATGTTGCAAACACCTGGGTTTGTGCCATAATTTTCCTTCTTGAAGTGTTCACCTTTGCTAAAGCCTTCCGGTACTTACACTCTTCACAGAGCCTCCTTCCATAGCTCACTTGGAATGATTCAGCACTCATTCATTGTGCTTGTTGGGTTTCATTATTGGATTCCAGGCAACCACTGGGGGTGGGGGTGCTGTGGATCCCACCTCCCCCTCTCTGAAAGCTTGTGCAAGGTTGATTATACAGTAGGTGCCCGTAAGTGTTGAGGATGGACAGACTGATGGACTCTATGGCCAAGTTGGTGACTATTTGTTAATTCAACAAGTATTTACAGAGGGTCACTGTCTTAAGTGCTGACGATATAGCAGTGAATAAAACAAAGTCTGAAGACTAACTTGTGGTTCCTGTTTCCAGACCAAGACCTGGACTGTCCTGGACCCCTGGACATGATGGCGCCTCGACTCAGGCCGGTAAGAGCCTCTCCCTGGAGGAGACTGTGTAGAGAGGGGTCATTCCAACTTGTCCTGTTTGGTCTGTAGGGCTGAGGGAATGAACAGGGACATCCCCAATAGAGGCCTCTGGAGCCCTGACTACGTGTTCCCTACAGATGCGTCCACCGCCTCCCCCACCAGCTAAAGCCCCAGATCCTGGCCGTCCAGATCCCCTCACCTGAAGCCAGGGGTACTACTGCCCCCAGAGATGCTGCTGCTGCCCTGTCTCCGTGCTGTCAGAGACCTCCCTTCAGTGATCTGGAGTGACACAACCAGAAGCTGGAATCCCCCCCCATTTCTGCTCTTATCTCCAGGGGTAGAAACTGCCCCTTTCCCAATTCTGGGTCTGGGACTCCTCCTTTTCCCCACATTGTCCGTTCTCTTACTGTCTCTAGGGCTTGAACTATCCCTTTCTTTTTTTCCACCACTCCAGCTCTAAAGTGGTGAAATACCCTGAAATATCTGGGGCTGGACCCCATCCCCCAAAGTCTTGAGTGGCTCTGGACAGTGTGTCTCCACCCTGGCTCTGTGACCCACCCCACTCCAGATGCCAGGACCACAGGGCTTGGGGGCTGGGACGGGGCGGACCTGTCAGAAGGAGTTGGAGCCATTATGTGAAACAACTGTAATGGTCTGAGCAGATTTATTGACAGTGAATAAAGGGCAGGGGGCCTAAGGTGCTATTGCTTTAGGGGGCCTGATCCCAGTTGCCACACTCTAGCATATGGAGCAAGGTAATGGGGAACGTGGGTCAGGCAGCCTGTTGGCAGGCAAGGAAAGGGGACTGAGGGCCAGGGATAGGGGTGGGGGTGGGTGCCTTCTCCCAATGTCCTCCAGGCTGAGACCGATTAGGACCGGTCCCTCAGCTGGGGGCAGTGCTGTCCAGTGGAAAGGAGGGGCTTCATGGCCACCCAGCCCCTGGCTCTGCAACTGGTAGTTCTTCGGCAATGAAGAAGGAGGCTTGGGGAAGAGGAAGGGTAATGGTGTTGCCTCCCAGTCAAGTTGAATTCCAGCTTTCCCCTGGAGGCTGTGGCACCTTCCCTGTTCCCTGGAGCACATGCCTGCTCCCCACCACCAAACCAAAGACTAGGTAGCAAAGGAAAAGCCTGCAGTTTACCTTGAGGGGTACAGGCAGCCAGCCAGTGGGCTTAAGTAATGTAAGTAGGGGGTGGGAGGAGGAGGTTATCTGACTTGAAGCCCAGGCACACTTACCTCACACACCTTTTGCTCCCCGTGCTGGAGACACCTGAGAGGAGGGGTCAACAGTAGGAGAACAGGGTGTGAGTCATATCAGTGCACCCCATCCCCAGAGTAAAGGGCAGTAATAGCTCAGCCCATCACAGCCCTGGCCATGTCTTCATACCTGGTGATCTGATGTGTCCGGTTTGTTTGGCTGTCCATTGGCCTCTTGACTGGCCAGCCCTGGGCTTGGGCCCCTCCCTCCAGCCGCCAGCGGTGACTCTGCAGGGGCTCCAGGGTTCCCTCCAAGTGCACAAGGGACTAGGTTGCTGTCCCTGAGTCCATTCTGCATTGCGGGGCTGGCAAGGGCCTGGGGCTGTGGCCTCTCAGGGGGCAGGCTTTCAATGGCTGGCATCCCTGCCCTGGACTGCCCTTCCCCAGACCCTTGGCTGCCCCCTGGGTCCTGCCCCCCACTAGAGCCCAAGCTCCTGTCTGTGGGGGAGCCATCATGATGCTCATGCAGTCCATAGCGCCTCTCAATGTGTGTCACCCGGAACCTGGGAGGGAAGGGAACACTGGGTCTTAGGATCACAACTCGGGGGCTGCTTGGCCCTCCCCTCCAACCAGGGATATCTTTGGTTTGATGGCCACTTCCCTCTAGCCTTGGGCAGTGGAGATGTCAGATTGTGGGGCATATTGTATAACCTACTCTTGCTGTAGGTCACAATCCAGGAGTAGAGAGGTGGGGCCCACCTTTGGAGTCAGGAACCCCCCACCTCAACCTCCCCCCTACGGCACTCTATCCCCACCTGCCCACAGAGAAAACGGTGGTCTCCCCAGGCCGGCCACGGCTCTTTCCTTCCTTGGAGCGTCCCTGACGGACAAGTGGGGGCCTCTTGTTGCGGCTGCAGTGGATGCAAGGGGCTGCAGAGCCCAGGTGCACTGTGTGATGATGGGAGGGGGCTCCATCCTGCAGACTGGAAGTGGCATCCACGCTGGACAGTAGAGAGGAAGGGAGCAGGGGTGACATTTCCATTTCTCTTCTGTTTGTTCTGTTTGTTCTGTTCTTTCGGCGTGCTCCTTAAGCCTCCAGATGCCCACTTTCCCCAGGCCCCAACATTCTTTTCTGTCTTTATCCAATAAACTCAATATTAAGATGGTAGTGATCACGTGTTCTCCTTCCCAGAGCTGTTTTCTAAGAAGAGGGCAGTGCTTAACCCAAAGGAGTGGCACAAAGGGTGAATGGAAAGCTTGATGATATCCAGAAGGGAGGTATGATTTGAAGGACTTGAGATTTCTATGTAAACGTCTTTCTTCCTATAGGTTAGCCAGCTTTGCCCTCCCCCGACCCCAAACATGCGAGGAGACTGGGAGAGGATTGTGCTGGAGGAGAGGGTACTCTCCAAGGCAAGCTAAGTCATGCTGGCCTTTGTTTCCAGCTCACCTGGACAGCTGCACTGTCCCTTCTCCTTCACTGTCCCCCAGCATCTCCTTCAAGGCCTCAGCATTGGCTGAGGGGAGAAGGAAAAGAAGGAGTCAGTGGAGGTGGAGGTCAGGGCAAGAGAAAGTCAGGGGGTGGGGGGTGGGGCGCTTACACCCACCTTCATTTTGGATGATACAGCGAACAATTCTCTCTACTGTGTCCTCATTCATGTCATCATCGTCAGCTAAAGGAAGAAAAAGGTTGACAAGGAATTGGAAGTGAGTCAGCTTTGGGGGACATTACCAGGTGGCTCCTGTGGCCTATTGCTCAAGATATAACCGTGTGCCTATTGGTCATCCTGCTGGGCATTAGCATTTCAGGGGCCAAGGCAGAAAAGATGAGAAGTCAATGGGAGCCCAAGATCACCATCAGCGGGCCCTACCCACCCATGCTGCCTTCTCTAGCCTTGCTTTCAGGGCGGTGTCACCTCACTTGCTGACCCAAGGAAGCATCACTAGGCCTTTTGAAGGCTTGGTTGGGACTTGACTGGGTCTGTTGGCCAGGAAGGCAGACAGAGGTGTGGGGACAAGGGTAAGGAAAAAGATGACTGAGCCGGGTTCGAGGCTCCTCACTCACGGGGCTGGAGCTGGGTGTCATCAGGCTCCGAGCCCCTGGATGTGCGGCAGCGGTAACCCTTCTTCTTGAGCACGTGGCAGATCATGAAGCCCACGAGGCCCATGAGGAAGAAGACCAGCACAAGCAGGAAGAGCATGTACAGCCCATGTTGGGGTGGCTCCAGGTCAGGCTGTGGTTCCGCCATGAGGCCCTGGGGGGCGAGCGCGGGCCAGGGCGCCTCCCGGGGTTTGAGGGCTGCAGCTAGGGTTCGGGGAGGGATAGAAATGCCATCCTCAGGATCTGACAGGCAAGCCTTTTCACACACACCAGGGAGCTGTCCGGGCCTGGGGTGCTGGTCAGAGCCAGTGGTGCTAGACCGCGGCTGCGCAAGCCCTCTCCCCTGCTCCCGCTTTCCCGACGCCCACAGCGTTCCCCTTTCCAGTTTGTCCTGCGCTCCCGTCCCTTCCAAGGACACTACAGAGCGAGATGGGACGGAATTCGCTGGCGGTCAGCGCAAGAATCGCGCCTGAGTCAGCGTCCGCACCTCCTCGGCCCCGGCCTGAGCCAGGCCTCTGCAGCCCCTCTCTAATCTGTACTCCAGCACCCGCCCCCCTTTCGGTTCCTCCCATTCTGACCACCTGGCCCACCCAGTACCGGTGGTTTGGTTCTGGCTCCGGCTCCGGCTCCTGCTCGGGTTCCGGCTCCAGGGGCGTCCTAGTCCGGCTCAGGGCCCCCGACGCCCTCCCGGCTCTCATCCCTCTCTTCCTTCCCCTCCCCCCTTCGCCGCCTCACCGGCTCCGGGCTGCGGCTGCAGATACCGGTGCCGCGGCAGGCGGGGGGGAGGGAAGGATGGAGAGGGATGTCGCCTGGCTGGGAGCAGCGGCAGATTCCCGACAACTCCGGCCCCGGAAAGGGGAAGAGATGGGGTGCGCCGCCGAAGCCACTCTGGGTTCCCAAAAGCCTTCGCCCGACGCCGGCCCAGGACCAGGGGGCGGAGCGCAGGTGTGCGGGGCGGAGAGCGAGGGCCTTGCGCGCTCGTGAACGCAAATGTGGTGTGCGCGTGACTGCGCCGGCCCCCCCGGGGAGTGTGCGGCGCCGAGCCTGGGTCCGGGTGGGGTGGCGAGGCAGTCAGGCGAGCGTGTTCTCTAGTCTATCCCGCACGCCCGGCGCGGCTCCTGCCCCTAGATACCCCGGCCGGGTGGATAGCCAGGAATCTTCCCAGTGGCCGGGGGAAGCCGGCTTTCTGCACCCGAGAGGGGCGGTGTGGCCGGCTCTCCCGAGCCTTCTAGAGAGGTGACCACGGCCTGCACCCGGTTTAGGACAGGTGGCTGGACGGGATGTCTCGGCTTCTCGAGGATTTGCCCCCCGTCTGGGAGGAAATGGCCCTGGCATCCCAGAATCGATGCCACCTGTCTTCTGCCCAAGCCCAGACGCTCACGCCCAGAACTAGCCGCAGGGGGCGTGGCCTGGGCGTGGCCTAAAGGAGGCGGGGCCTGGATTCCCGGTTCCGCAGAGCAAAGAGTACAAGATGTGGAAGAAACATCTATCAGAAGAGGCACGGGGAGGCGCGGGGCCTGGTCCCGCGGGCACCATGGCCAAAACCGTGGCCTATTTCTACGACCCGGACGTGGGCAACTTCCACTACGGTGAGGGAACAAGGTGGCACCCGAGGGGTTCGGGACGCGGAGGGGTGGAGGCTGGGGGCACTGACGAACTCTCTTCTCTACTCCCAGGGGCCGGGCACCCTATGAAGCCTCACCGCTTGGCACTGACCCATAGTCTGGTCCTGCACTACGGTCTCTACAAGAAGATGATCGTGAGTTCCGCCGCCTCTGCTGGGGATTGAGGGTGGGGGCGAGCTGCGGCCTTAAAGCCAGGTAGGCCGCACTGAATGCACTGAGTGAGACCCACCCAAGAGTGGGGGTGGGGGCAGGCTGGATAGAAGGCACCAGGAGCACCCCCACCCCCACAGGCAGAGTGCTGGTGAGCGCACCCACCGACTTAATGGGAGTTACTCTTTCC